CAAACTGTAGTGGGTCCTGGGCATGTTGTACCTGTGGTTGGAGGAGGTTGAGGAAGAGCCGCTCTAGAGTCTTCATAAGATGTGACGTCAGTGCTACCGGTCGGAAGTCATTCAGCTCATTGGGCCGGTTCCTTTTGGGGACTTCCACAGGGCGAGCACTCTCCCCAGTCGCAGACTGAGATTGAAGACTCGTTGTAGCGGCTCCCCAAGTTCAGCAGCACATGCCTTTAGCATCCTAGGACACACCTTGTCTGGGCCTGCTGCCTTTCTGGGGCGAAGCTTCCTCAGTTGTCTCCTGACCTGATCCACTGTGACACTGGGAGATGTTGGGGAGGAGGGGAGGGGGGGAGATGTCTTGCTGCTGAGAGAGGGATTGGAGGAGGGGGGTGTCATGGTGTCAGGAAGGGGGGAAGCGAGGGAGGTAGGGGAGTGGGGAGAGGACTCTGTAGTAAATGTAGTAAATATATGTATGCTTTTAGAAATAATGCAAATTCATTAAAAAAAAAGTTACGAGTAAACTCCCTACAGGCCATGGGACTTCCTAAAATTTGCACAGAGCCAAAAATAAATAAATAAATGGATGGATTAAAACAAAAGTACAAAGGAGAAAAAGACAATGAATGAATTATTAATGAATTATTATTATACGTGGATGAATGAATTGTGTTTTTGTGTATTTCATTTTCTTAGTAAAATTTGAGTCAATAGTAAGTTTAAAAATATTATTGTTATTAATATTATTAATAATATTAATAATTATTATTATTATAATAATAATGCATTTTATTTGAGGGCGCCTTTCAGAAACCCAAGGTCACCTTACAAAGAACAAAATGAATAAAAGGAACAATAGTCATAAAATACATAAAATAAGTTAAAATTGCAAAGCAGAACTTGACAACAGATAAAATCAGCACTAAAGCGAATGAACCAGTTTAAACAGATGTGTTTTGAGCTGTGACTTAAATACGGAGAGGGAGTCAATATTTCTTATGGCTGGAGGAAGAGAGTTCCAGAGCCGAGGAGCAGAGCGACTGAAAGCTCTGTTCCCCATAGTAATAAGGTGTGAGGACGGAACAGTAAGATGAAGAGCAGATGATGATCTGAGAGGGCGGGAAACAGTGGTGATATGGAGCAGGTCACACAAATATAAAGGAGCAGATTTATGGATACACTTGTATGTAAGAAGTAAGATCTTAAAATTTATCCTGGCTTCTATGGGCAACCAGTGAAGTTGCTGAAGAACTGGGGTAATATGAGCTCTTAACAGAGTACGAGTTATGACCCAAGCTGCAGAATTATGAAGAAGTTGGAGTTTATGAAGGGACCTTTTAGGGAGACCAAATAGGAGGGAATTGCAGTAATCAATACAGGACGTAATAAGACTATGGACAAGGATGGCAACAGCATGGGGAGTAAGGAAGGGACGGAGTCTGTTAATATTACGTAAGTGGAAGTAAGCAGACCGTGTTATGTAATTAATGTGAGACTGGAATGAAAGAGTATTATCAAGTATGACACCCAAACTCTTAGCCTGAGGGGAGGGAAGGGTAGGAGAATTTTCAATGTTAATGGAAAAACTGTGGGATTTGGTTAAGATAGATGGTGTACAAACAAGTAAAGCTTCAGTTTTATTACTGTTAAGTTTGAGGAAATTGGAGGAGAACCAGGATCTAATCTCAATAAGACAGTCTGAGAGGGAGGGAGGTGGGAGGGATGAATTGGGTTTAGAAGAAATGTAGAGCTGGGTGTCATCGGCATAACAGTGAAAATTTATATTATATTTTCAGAATATATGACCAAGAGGAAGCATATAAAGAATGAATAAAAGGGGCCCTAATACTGAACCCTGGGGCACACCAGCAGAAACAGGATAGAGACTTGAAGAATGGGATTTAAATTGTGGCACATCCGCAGTGAACTTTGCTGTGAAAATGATCTAAACAAAAGGAGTGCTGATTTCGGAATCTTCAAGTGTATGATAAGATCAAAATAAGCAAAATTGCATTTCATGTAATTAAACGGTTTTTTTAAGAAAAAACTGAAAACAATGACAGTTACAAATGTATTGTGCATTAAACAAGTTCAAACGTGGTGATAGAGCCAGCTCTGTTGCGGGTCATTTTGACCTGTACTGTGTAAATCCACTCAGAGTTGTCAAAAAACTGCAATAATAACCCCCCATTCTCTGCAGCCTGCTGGAGCGGGGGGGCTAGGAGGAGGAGTTGGCCGTCCGACTGCGGTCTGGAGTGTGGGCCTCCCTGCTGCTGCGGAGTCGGGGCGGTCTGCCTCCCCCCACCGCAGGGAAAAGGGTAACACCACCTGGGTCTGGGTGCAGTTCCCCCCTCCAGGGGCAAGGGTACCTAGACCCGGTTCGTAGAGTACGCTTGGGGAGTGTGATCGTGTGTACAGCGTCTCTTTATGTCTGTCTCCACTTTGGTTGAGTGTGGAGTAATTGCATATGAGAGCATGAGGGTGGGAATGGATGTTTGTATATGTGTGTGCCTGTATGGTCTGTGTCTATATGTCAGGTTGGGTGTCAGGCGCCACCTCTCTGGGGACATCTCAGGCCCTCCAAGGTTTGGAGGCCTATCTCCCCCTACCACCACTTCCCCTGCCAGTGGCGGACTCCCTCAGGTGTCGGTGCGTTGGTGGTTCTTTGTGTCCGGGGATGGGCATCCAGGTACACACCGGCTCACTCCTTAGCGGCCGCTTATCGGGGCCTGGAGCCTGGGGCTCGCTGGGGCCACTTCGGAGGTTGGGTGCCCCCGGCCTCTCGGCCTGGGTCTCGGTCACTCAGGCACGGCTGGCTGCCGGCGGAGCTCACGGGCGCGTCACTGCAACTCCCCCCTGGCTTCTGCTCCGCGGCTGCTGAGTGAGCCCTCATCTGAGACTCTCCTCAGCTCTTTCTGGGACAGTGGCGCGGCTGCCCCTCTGTTGGTCTTCCTTGGTCTCTTGTGTTCTGGGGGCCTCTGGATGTCTGGAGTTTTGATCTCCTCCATACCTGCTTCATGCCCTGGAGGACGGGGCTGTGGCCCCCCCACACCCTCTAGCAGATCATAACATGAAGGAACCTTTTTTTTTTAAAAAAACAAGCGCGTCCATGCTCACAGGTGTACACACGGGTGATCACACCCACAAACTACACCCTTTTTGGCTCCTACCTCAAAGCACACTGTGTTCTGTTGATCTTATGTGCTGCACAATAATGTTTAATATTTAGTATTTACTGTCATATTCCCATATATCATTGTGATGTTGTTTATTCTATTACTCTTGTTCTGTTCTGCTTGTTTTCTTTTTTCTTTCTCAGCAGGTGATCCAGGTGATCGATATATGCATTTTTTTTTTCTCTGCTCATTCTGTTGGTTTATGTTTTTTGCCCTTCTCCCCCGTCCCTCTTCTCAGCTGTTTCTCTTTCCCTCTTTCTTTCTCCCCTTCTTTCCCCCAGTCAAGTCTGTCCCGTATTCAGTAAGTGAAAATAAAATAAACAATAAAAGGTGAATCAAATGGACCATTACGGCAAGGCTGGGATGGTCAATTTGGTAAAGTAAATCCGTTGGGCATCTTTCTTTGCCTTTAGACAACAATTCTGATGGCAAAAGAGCCAAACGGGACAGGCAAAAAAAAACAAAAAAAACTGCAATAAAACAAAAGCAACTTTACTTTCCATTAGATAAACATTTAGACATACAACACAGTTTGACTTTCCATAACTATTTGTAGGAACAATTTAGTCGAGGTTTCGTTCTTACAAACACATTTCTTTTGAACTTGCCTGATGTTCTCAGTTTTTCAATGTTCAACATTTTCAATTTTGTCCACATGATGGACAGAATGTAACTGTGCTTTCTGTAGATGTACTTCTTGCATTTCTGACAAAAAGTGCTTGTTTTAAAACATGAATCTTCCTAACTTAGATTTAAGACAAATGATTTCTACGTCTCCTCCAGCCTCAAAAACAGATGACAAACCAATCGACACACCTGAGTTACTGACTCTGTTATATCCACTCACTCTCACTGGCTCTGTTTATTACTGATCACTGTGTAACTGCTGTAAATTCACAGTAACTGCCACCTCCTTACAAATGTTTATTGCATTAACCACACTTGTACAGACTGTATATAACTACCAATTGGTAGTTATATACAGTCTGTACAAGTGTGGAGAGTTAACTCTCCAGTCATGTTGATGGATTGCCTATATTGGCTGAAAATATTCATTTCCAGGAAAAAGACACAGGCAGACGATGCTTACAGGATGTGATGTGACAACACTAATGAAATATTGATGTGTCATAGTTGTCCAAGGCGTATTTCACTGTTATGGAAAAAGAAAATATTAAAATCATGATGACCAATTGGAGTGGTGATTTCTATGATTTTGTGTATATAATTTGGCATTTCTTACTGATGTAGGCCAAAAATAAGTACATGATATCATTTCATTCAGTTCAAAGGTTTATTTGCATGACGCACAAACAGACACAGTTGAAAGGTACAAATGTATCGTGCATGAAACGAATTCAAACGTGCTGCAGATGTGTGTCACAAGTTGATCTGGCTGTAGGCTGTGGTACTTGGCCAGAGGTGGCGCTGGTAGATTCGAGTCCATGTAAGTGCGCACAAAGTAAACTGCTCGCTTTAGTTGTGAAGCAAAATCGCTGAAATCGGAGTAATAACACGTGCGAGGGGAACGATAACGACGACAAGATTCCCCCGATCGTTTACTCTTGCTGTCCTGTGGACAACATCGGCGTGGTGTTAATTGTTTGTTTTCGCGTCGCGCATGAGAATATCACCAGGTAAACTCGCGATATTTTTAAACATTTTGTTGTTCAACAGCATCAAGACTGACGGAGTGTATTTGAGATAACCTCACAAGTGTCACAGATGACACATTTGGCGTTTTTTCCTGGTTTGTCGGTAGCAGCTCCTGAAATGCAAGTCTGCCACACATCTGTTCGACTAACGCCAGTTGATCTAAACGCCAGTAGATCTGGAACACCGGGTAGAAGTATAGAGCCACAGGTGGAGAGACAGCCAGGCAAAAACGGAGCCGCAAAAGATCCGTAGCAGAGTACTGGAGAAGAGCTGTCGTCGGGTGATGAAAAAAACCCCAGGTATTATTATTATTAGTAGTAGTAGTAGTAGTAGTAGTCCATAAAATGTTTTTTCCTAATGGCCCTCCATGCCCACAGGGTAGGGCTTTACTATGGGTGGGCGGTCTCTGCAGGGAGTGGGCTTGCCCGGCGCTTTTTAATCCAGATACGCACCCTACGTTCGGTAGGGTGCGTATCTGGATCCGGAGCTGACACGGCCAAGAGGGGAAAGAAGACACACCACCCAGCAACATGACTGCACCCAGCAACACCTACGACGTTATAGTGGTCGGCGCGGGCATATCAGGTAGGCTGCACGTTAGAAAACTTTAGTTTGGTGTGCAGGCTGTGCGGACGAGCTGAGCAAATAAACTGATTTAAGCCAAAGCTTCGAACAGAGCTTCCACAGTGGAAGAAGCTGTGCGTGCGTGCGTGCAGAGTGACGGAGAGTTTTTCATTATTCGTAGTGTTTTTCTTCTTCTTCCGTGAGGCTACCTCCCCTCTCCTCCTCTCTCCAGCTCTTTCACCTCTGTATCACCGCAGCAACAGCAGAGCAAGTTGAGCAACAGCTAATCAACCAGCGCATACTTTGTGTTACATAAGAGGACGTGAGCTGTATGGAGGGCCAGGAGTGAGGAAATAAATGAATGAAATACGTTATTAAATAAATAATTAAATTTGTCATTAATTAATTAAAATTTAAATTAATTAATTAAATAAATGTTTAAATAATTAATTAAATGCCCATTAATTTCATTTAAAACATTGAATAAATTATGTGTTTATTTATTTCAAATTGTATTTAATTATCAACACATTTAATCAATTATTTAATGATGTATTTATTTAATTCATTTTGACAGTCCTGACCCTGCGGCTCTCTTCATGAATTACTTTTATCTGCCAACCTCACCCATCAAACTCAGGGGGTGGGGTTAATGGTGTTCGAGTAAAAACCATTGCTTTGGCCTGGTGGCCAGTCTTTTTATTGGACATTTCTCTAACTAACTGAACTTGCCTTTAAATACCCTGTTTGTATGTCACCGAATACAGTTTAAATATTTTTTTTAGCCGAGAATGTAGAGGTTTAATCTTCAGATATCTGGTCGGTTTGTCAAGATCGAGCCTATTTGCAAAAGTGCTCCGATGATTTCGGAGATGTCTGCCCCGCCCAGTCTCACAGCAAAACCTGTGACATACCCATACTCCATATCCCAGAGGTCAGTGTATGACAAGCTGTTTATCTACTGTATACTCTGTGGTTGGTGAGCCAGTGCTCAGTGCTTTACTTGTTAGCTCTTCCTCCCCACATGATCAGCTGGTTGGCTGGTTTGTGATTTGTTGAGAACCTCAATCCCCCCTGCCCCCCTCTATTTTTTTCCCCAGAGCTCTCTCAGTTCATTTGAAAAGCAAATGTTATGTAATTTTATTTAAGAGTTGCATGCCTACCTAAAAGCTAATCAGTGTAAATGCACAACGGAAAACAATTAAAGTGGGAATACCTGTTGATGGTATAACAGTGTCCTAACTAGCATAAGAGAAACCAGATTTACTTTAAAAATAAACAAAGAAGTTCAAATCTTTGTCTTTCTTATCAGATTTTCCAAACGATCCTCTTGATCTGGTTTTGAGTGATCTAATAGAGCGCAAAAACAATGTTTTTCTTTGAGAAGGGGATTTTTGGAAGCCTTTTTTGTCATTTATTTTAAAAGACCTTTAAAATCCCTGTGTGCCTTTTGCTATTGCTTTTTTTACAAGTACAGAAAGCACATATATTGCTTGAATCCTTATGTTTAAGTCCTGTTGGTGTCTCTGTCCTTCTGCAGGTTTGAGTGCTGCAAAGCTGTTGAAAGCCAGTGGGCTCGATCCTGTAGTGTTGGAAGCCAGAGACCGGGTTGGTGGTCGTACCTTCACTGTGCAGGTAAGGCAAAGAGTGTCAATACTACTGTAGGAGCGGCTCATAAAAGAGACAATCAGTAACAGTAATATAAATGCTTTCCAGCCTTTTTAATTTTACAACCAAGATAGTGTATCTATTTCTTTTAATGGGCATACAGAAAAAAAATGACATTTATATTCAAGTCATTTATGAGCGTAGAAGTGCAAGCATAGATCAGTTAGCCTTTTCAGAAATATCTGTGACATTTCTTTCTTTTTTGTCATGATCTAATTGTGAGTATGTGTCTTTTAGAATAAGGAGGCAAAGTGGGTTGATCTAGGCGGTGCCTACATTGGACCGACACAGAACCGCATCCTCCGTCTGGCCAAAGAGTATGGCATAAAGACCTACAAAGTCAACGAGCAGGAGAACTTGGTGCATTATGTTAATGTGAGTGTCTTTTTTTTATTGCAGATAATTTTCTATTCCAAGCTCTCTTGGTTTATGTTATGTCTGTGTAGTCTGTGACAGATCATGACATGTTCCAGATGTATTCTTCACTTTAAGTGATGGAGTAAATGATGACAGTTTCAGAAGATGATGCACCATATCCTGAGTCTGACCCATTATCCAATAAAAAGGAAATCCAAGTCTCTGCTACTTTTCTGGCATCACGCAGTAGGCATGGCAACAAGGATCTTTATCAACATTTTTCAATTGCCACTTTCTGCCGCTGGCACTTTTCCTGTCAGCTTGACTTTTGCATGAGCTAACAGAGCTAGCCTCTTTGCCATCAGCAGTAGAGTTTGAAGCATTTTTGGGGAATCTTTTTGTTTGCACTAAAAACAAATTTTTTACTTTGCACACAAAGTAAAACATTGTTATCATCATTGTTAACTTTAGTTCACTTGACTGTACCGTATTTACCGCACTATAAGGCGCACGTAAAATCCTTAAATCTTCACAAAAATCGACAGTGCGCCTTATAATCTGGTGCGCCTTATGTATGAATTTTGTTTGTGCTTACTGACCTCGAACCGGTTTTATGTGGCACACTATGCTCAAAAATCTGTCAAAAAAAGATTTTTAGTGCCACTTTTTGGAGCATTACGGTTACCGTTGCCAGGAGCCTCGCGGAGTAATACGTACTGTGCTTCAACACAACATTACCGTGTTGTGTGTGTGTGTGTGTGTATAACGACTCCAAAATGGCACCCGTGAAGAGACACGCTTACGAAGCTGATTTTAAACTTTGAGCAATTAGTTATGCAGAAGAGAATGGAAATAGAGCAGCTGCGAGACAATTTGGCATTAATGAGTCCATGGTGCGCAAGTGGAGGAAGCAAAAAGATGACCTAAAACAAGTAAAGAAGACCAAAAGGAGTTTCCGAGGGAACAAGGCGCGATGGCCGCAGTTAGAGGACAAAATTATCAATTATCATCATCTTTCCTCCCCACTGCTGTCAGACTCCATAATAAAGACTTTAACTGATCAAGCACACACATCCATACATATGCAATAATACTAAGTGCAATAATCCTTTCTGTCATCGTTGTATTTTTACTCAGTTGTATATAGTATTTGTATTTGTATTCTATTTTTATCTTATTGTATATTTATTTTATTTTATTCTACTGTATATAGTATTTTATTTTATTCTATTCTGTACAGTTGTGTACTGTATTTATTCTTATTGTATTCTAATTTTTGCCTCATAACTTTTGCACTGTCCACTTCCTGCTGTGACAAAACAAATTTCCCACGTGTGGGACTAATAAAGGTTATCTTATCTTATCTTATCTTAAATTGAACAGTGGGTTATTGAACAGAGAACAGCAGGTAGAAGTGTCTCTACAGTCTCTATTCGACTCAAGGCAACAGCGGTAGCACGTGACATGCAGATCAAGACTTTCGAGGGGGACCTTCTTGGTGCTTCCGTTTTATGAAAAGGCATAATCTCTCAATCCGCACAAGAACTACTGTCTCACAGCAACTGCCAAACGATTACAAAGAAAAGTTGGCCATTTTCCGCACGTACTGCCAGAATAAGATCACTGAAAAGAAGATCCGGCCAGAACACATCACTAACATGGACGAGGTCCCCTTCACCTTTGACATCCCCGTGAACCGTACTGTCGAGAAAACAGGGACCAGTACGGTATCTATACGCACCGCAGGGAACGAGAAGTCATCCTTCACTGTAGTTCTGGGCTGCCAAGCTAATGGCCAGAAACTACCACCCATGGTCATTTTCAAGAGGAAGACTTTGCCAAAAGAAAAGTTTCCGGCCGGCGTCATCGTCAAGGCTAACTCAAAGGGCTGGATGGATGAAGAGAAAATGAGCGAGTGGCTGAGGGAAGTTTATGTCAAGAGACCGGATGGCTTTTTCCACAAATCTCCGTCTCTTTTGATCTATGACTCCATGCGCGCCCATCTCACCGAGGCTGTCAAAACCCAAGTGAAGCAAACTAATTCGGAGCTTGCCGTCATTGCGGGTGGATTAACCAAAGAACTCCAACCACTAGATATTGGTATCAACAGGTCGTTTAAAGTTAAATTACGAGCTGCGTGGGAGCATTGGATGACAGAAGGCGAACACACATTCACCAAGACAGGGAGGCAACGCCGAGCGAGTTACGCCACTATCTGCCAATGGATCGTGGCTGCTTGGGCTAAGGTATCAGTCTCAAGTGTCGTCCGAGCTTTCACGAAGGCTGGAATAATCACTGAACAGCTAAGTAACAGCAACGAGACTGATTCAGATAATGATGAGAGGGATCCGGGCATGCTTGATGCCGAAATTGCCCAGCTGTTTAACTCAGACACTGAAGGTGAAGAGTTTGATGGATTTGTGGAAGTTGAATGAACTGGAAATGTAAGTGTATTGTTCAATATTTGATGTTTAACAGCTTAACAATGTTAATAGTTACTGTGAATGAGTTGGTTAAATTTTAACTCATCCGATTGTTTTATTCTGATGAATGCACTTTAAACGCCTTTTAATCCGGTGTGAGAGGGATCCGGGCATGCTTGATGCCGAAATTGCCCAGCTGTTTACCGTAACTCAGACACGGAAGGTGAAGAGTTTGATGGAATTGTGGAAGTTGAATGTACCGTACTGGAAAAAGTATATTTTTCAATATTTAACATGTTACAGCTTAACAGTGTTAAGAGTTACTGTGAATGAGCTTAATAAAGGTCGAGTTATTTTTTTGTTTGTCTTAATGCGCCTTATAATATGATGCGCCTTATGTATGAAAACAGAGCCAGTCTTCAACAGTGCGCCTTATAATCTGGTGAGCCTTATAGTGCGGTAAATACGGTAATCTGCTAAATTAGCCACTCCCCCCACACACGGTCGTACAGAACATATATACTCAGTGGAGGAGCTTGTTAATGATCTCAAGACTAGGAACAGTCACCAAAAACACCAATGGTTACACACTGGTTGTAATGGTCTAAAATTAGAGAATAATGTGGCTCAGGAGGTAGAGCAGGTCATCTATTAATCAAAAGGTACGGGTACATTAGACATGCTAAAGTGCTTTGAGCGTTCAAGTAGAATAGTAATGTGCTGTATAAGAACCACTCCATTTACCATATACCGAATCTTGCAGCGCTCACAAGGTTCCCCCTGCTCAAGAAGGCACATTTACAAACCCCTCTTAAGTTTGCCAGTGAACACCCAAAAAATTTAGAGAAGCCTTGGAAGAAAGTAATGTAATCAGATGAAAACAAAATCGAGCTCTTTGACAACAACTTAACCCACAGTGTTTGGAGGAGGAGAAGTGATGAGTATGACCTAAAGAACACAATCTCCACAGTCAGAGGTGGAAATATTGTGTTTTGGGCTGTTTTTCTGCTGTGGGTACAGGATGACTTCACCGTATAGAGGGGCCAATGAATTGGACTATGTGCCGTAAAATCTTGGACAAGAGTCTTCTTCCATCGGCCAAAAAACTGAAGATATGAATGAGTCTTCCAGCATGACAATGACCCAAAATATACCACCAAAGAAACATAGGAGTGGCCAACGAAGAAGAATGTTAAGTTCATTTTGCAGCTTAACCATTCTCCAGACCAGACCTTTCTACCAGTCCTGTAGAAAATGTGCTGTGGGGGTCTTTAAAACCTAAAGCATTTAGAGATTTTCTGTAAAGAGGAGTGGGCCAAAATCACTCCTGAAATGTGTGCAAACCTAATGACCAACTACAAGAAATATCTTACCAAAGCTCACACTGAGCTCAGGGTTTTATTTGATTTGATTTGATTTTTTTTTTGGACAGTGGTTTGGGGGAAAAATGAAAAATGAAATATCTGGAAATACTGGAAATGCCATCACTGTCACCCTTCACAGAGCGCTGAGCCATCTGGCTAACAGGAAGAGCTATGTGAGGATGCCCTTCGTGGACTACAGCTCAACATTCAACTCTATAATCCCAGACATCCTTATCACCCAACTGAGAATAAAAAGGCTGCGCAGAGGGTAATTAATACTGCCAAAAAATAATTGGCTGTCCTCTGCCACCCCTTCAGATCCCCCCTGCCACCTGTTCCTAGGTTCAAGCTCGGTAAACACCCTGGTAAAGAACCCCCAACAGTGTCTGCACTTCCTCCTTGTCCCAAGGAAGAAAAACCTGGACTAGAACCAGAACTTATTAAACAGGAAAAAACAACAACAAGAGAATAATCAGAATCTGAAAATTTCACAAAACACTTGACGCATCAAACACTGGAGGATAGCAAACAGGAACAGAGACATGAGACACAGACAGTCTGACAAAGGACAAAGAAAACACTATGACAATATATACACAAAACAGATCTTGAACAGATCTTAGAATGCTATAATAATCACAGTGAAACTATCAGATAATGTAAAACTGTTTGCATTGTATGTTGGTCTCTCACATAATGAATGCTCTGCAAGATAGAAATCCAAGAAATCTTTAGACTGACTTCAGAGGTGGTGTTTAGATATGATTTATTATCTTACACCTGGGAACCAATCCCTGCATCGGCAGTTCACAGCAATCAGTCTTTATTACCTATATTTTTATACCGTGTGTGTGTGTGTTAGTGTTTTACTACATTAGTAAAATTTTAAAATTGTTGTTGGTAAATCACAAACACCTTGACTGAGGCAGGTGAGGCCTGCAGTTCTTGAGATGTTGTTCTGGATTCTTTTGTGACCTCCTGGATGAATCATTGATGCACTCTTGGAGTAATTTTAGTAGCCCATTTGTGAATAACAGCTCTCCACTTGGCTCAGTCTTAGAAATGGTTTTCCAGACCGATAGTTGTCAGCAGCTTAGTCTTTCAGCTGTTTTTGAGTTTCTTCAGATCATGGCATGACGTGTCGCTTAGCCTACTTTACTTTGTCAGACGGGTTCTACTTGAGTGATTTCTGGATTCAGCAGTTATCAGACCTGAGTGTGGCTAGTTGAAACTGAACTTTCCAAAGTTCAACTTTCCAAAAAATGTGGTTGATCACAGTAAATTCACGATTTAGGACATGGTAGGTTTGTTTAGCCTTTTCCTTACTAAATTAATGTATTAATTAATCGAATCTAATAATAATTTACTAAATTTTAAAACTAAATGTAGTTTAAGAAATGAGAAATTAAGAAGAGCAAACATTTTCCCAGTACTGTATATTACAATAGGCAGTAAAATAACTATTGATAATAGATGTTTGTTTCAAAGTCAGATAAGAGCGTACAATATAATTTGGGTAAAAGGCTAAGGGCAGTGATTAGCATTTTCTGTGGTTCTGTGAAATCTTTATCTTTAGATGGTTGTCATAAAGTCCTCCTCTGCAGTACAGTCACCTTTGTCTTCAAGTAGCGTTCTTTGGTCCTCTCATTGAGGACAGGATCTTAATCTCGAGACTTCCAGGCCATATTCGGCACAGATGTTTCTGTACACTATGCCGGCCACTTGGTTATGGCATTCCATGTATGCCCTGCCTGCTAGCATCTTGCACCCTGCTGTTATGTGCTGGATTGTCTCAGGGGCATCTTTACACAGCCTGCACCTGGGGTCTTGCCTGGGGTGATAGAGCCCAGCCTCTATGCTTGTTCCGGTGCTGCCATGATTAGCGCCTCTGTGCTGTCTTTCAGTCCAGCTTTGTCCAGCCACTGTGGTACTGACACTAACTAGCCTCTGACCTCCTTCCTTAAGCTTAGCATACAACCTTAGGGCTTAAAGTTGGCCTCTAGTGTTGTCCACCACATCCCCATTGAGTTCCTGATAGTTCCTGATAAATTTACATTTAGTTTCTTCTTAGGGTCCTGTTGATCTTGTACAGGTCTAGGCATTCCAGCATCCAGTTGTGGGGCATCAAGTTGTAGGCCTTCTTGTAATCAATCCAGGGAGTGCACAGGTTTGTCAGCCTAGTCTTGCAGTCTCGGCTGACTGCTCGGTCTACCAGTAGCTGGTGTTTTTCTATGTCTCTGGTGTACCTCTTTAAGCAGCTGGCTAAGGCTGTGAGTCTTTGCTTGGCAGTTTCCAAGGCCTCAGGTATTGGACAACTTGCTGTACTTCTTAGGCACCTTCTTTGTCGCACCTTTCTGCATCTCCGATAGTTGGCTAACCTCCCTCCGTGCCACCTTGATGCCTCCAGTCTCCTTTAATGCAGTAATAATGCAGTTACAGCTGCATTGTTTTACAATGAAATGAAGAACTAAACAATTTTGATATTCTTTTTGTTTTGTTTTTTCCTTTGGCTCTATTACAGTGGTATTACATTACACAACACAATAAGTTAGGAGACTGTAAATAATAGGAGACATTATTAGTTTAAGCTGCAGCTGCAGACCAAGACAGTACAGTGTAAGTGTTATTCCAGAATTGTCTCTGAGCTGACAGCTCTGTGAGGCTTGGGCATTTCCACAAAGATGTATAGACAGTTTTTTTCTCTTTCAAAGAAGTTTGTGTTTAATAAGGTTTGAAATAAATGTTCCTGTCAAGCAAAGCTCTCAATACTCAAGCTCTCAAATAATCTCTCTAGCGTATGACGCTAGAGAGATTATTTGAGATTCCATCAACACACATAAATGAATGTACTCAAACCATTGTTATCCTCCACATAGCAAAGGGAACTTTGCTAGAAAGCAACAAAAATGAATCTCTAGTTACAATTGTGGTGTGGCAACACTTTAGTGGTTTTAAACCCACTGCATCTACCCCTGACTGTCACCTCTGTGTTTGTATGTCTTTGTGTGTGATTGAGAAATGCAGAAATAAACTAGACCAGGCATAAAAATTATGGCTTTAGATTATGGCTACTCTTATCACATTTAATGATTCAGTATCTCTGATTCAGTTGTAAACATTGCACAAGCTATTACTCCACTTTCTCCACCACTCTTCAAACTGCTTTCACGGTCAGTTAGAGGTCAACTGAAACAAATCTTTAATGGCAAATGCTGAAATGTTGTTCTTTGAATGCTGCCATCATTAAGCACAGCTTTTATAAGCAATGGTTATTTGATGATTGAAGAATATTGTTTTGGTGATGATGGCCGCAATCATGTGTCCAACAGGGAAAGTCTTACCCGTTCAAAGGCTCCTTGCCTCCCATGTGGAACCCCATCGCTTTGATGGACTTCAACAACCTCTTTAGAACAATGGATAAGATGGGCGAGGAGGTAAAGCAGTTCTCACTATTAATGAGTATTCTTATTAATAAGCATTCTAGATTGGTTTACTGGACAGGTTGCACACCTGCTACATGCCTGACTCATGCTGAACACCCTCCTGCATTTCAGATTCCCAGAGACGCTCCCTGGAGAGCTCCCCATGCTGAGGAGTGGGACAAGATGACCATGCAGGAACTCTTTGAAAAACTCTGCTGGACCAGGTAACATGTTCAAAATGTTTCCCGTTTGTGCAGAGAATAGGTCTAGCTATTCATCCTGTTATCTCGTTTATATCCAGTTTAAAGTTTTATTGTTAAATCATGTGACACAAATGTTGAAGGTGGTCTCTAACAAAAGAAATGTCGTTTTATTTTCTAATATCTCATATGAGTCAGCGAGGCTGGCTGGTGGAGTGATAGGTTATAACCTAATGTTAGCAACCTCAGTTACTAAGGTTTCATGGGTGCAGCATTCTGCACAACAGACTTGGCATGAAATGCTAGAATTCCACTCACTGAAGCTGGAAGTAAAATTAACGCTCTTTGGTTAATTTTGGTTAATTGGCTAATTCCAATAAAATGATCTCCAACACCACAGTCACAGTTAAGAGGTCCAGTTCAGTGACTCAAACTTGCAGAGGTGGAAATGGTTACAGCTTCCTGTGTCAGCACTAATAAGAATAAGAATTCTCATCCCTGCAAAAACTTTGAAAACGGATGCTGAAGGTTGTAGCTGTTTCATAGAGGTTTTTGGTGGAGAAGCTTCAGTATATGATGCACTGTGAGTGAGAATGTTTTTGATAATCTAATTACTGTGTAAATTTAAAATATGCAGCTTGTAAAAGTAAATGACAACAGTCCTGCACTAATTAAATGATTGTACTGCTCCAGCGTTTGAATTAATCCTGTAATGTATCCTATATTAAACTAAAATAAAACTTTAGTTCAACTTTGAAACTGCTCAAATGTAGATTATGTGCAAGTCTCTGCTGGAAAAGTAGGACAAGCAAGCAGAAATCCCTGACATGGTGATTTATTTGTGCTTTGTTCACACTCTTACAGAATATAAAAATTGTGACTGGGGTACCTGCAGTATTTAAAGACTTCTTACCTTCCATGTAATCCCTCCCAGAACTGCTCGTCGCTTCGCCACACTGTTTGTCAACTTGATCGTGACCGCTGAACCCCACGAGGTGTCAGCTCTCTGGTTACTCTGGTACGTCAAACAGTGTGGAGGAATAATGAGGATCTGCTCCACCACCAATGGAGGACAGGTATGTCTGCCCAAAATTATACCTACTGATTCAGAACAACAGACTGAAAGAATTCGTTTTTTTGTATATCTGTCTGAACAAACAGAATATTCTCTCGGCGTGCCAAGAAGTGGACTTGCGTTCTCTGCCTCTCACACAGATTCATTCAGTGATTCAGAGGAGCAGTGTGAACGTCAGAGGGAGATCCCTCACAGCCCAGTCTCCTTAGTCTGGCCTGAATAAGATGCTGTCCACACAAAAGATGTTTTCTTGGAATACTCAGGGCGTCTTTTCTGCTGCCGTTCCTCAAGCTGAGGGCCTTGTTCCCATAGCCACAAAGGCTTTGGTAAACAAATGACAAACAGTAGTGCAGTCGGCTCCTTCCTGTTTGCTCCACATTTAAAGCTTGCACGCCTTGTGGATGGTGCATACATAGGGGTGTTTGAAGTATTTACACATAGTCATCTTAAACATATGGATATGCTATTGGTATGCATTGCTTCGAGTGCAGCTGCACTCCTCCTGCAAAACTGCAAATGTGTCTTTAATCAAACAAGACAAGAAGAGGCTCACCTCGTTTCACCGCCCAGGACTGATTCAGGTGTAGCTCGTGCTTTCACAGCGACTGCTTGACAAATTCATCCAAATGCCACAGAGGAATGCACACAATGTGTTTCTGGTCAGGGATGAGAGAGATGTTGACACTAACCACATGGAAATGGTTTTGTGTATCGGAGCTTTGACAGCCCAAACCTCTCTACCTCCTCACTGTCATCTTCATCATTTAACATTTGCTGGCCTGGCTTTATGAACGTGTTTCTTTTGAATTAAGATGCAGAAATTTGTAGTGAAGGAAATGAAGGCGGACTGAGGATAACCGGTGTGTATCACCAGGATAAATCAGGGGATTTTATCGGCTTCATTCCAAACTGGGAGTTTATTAGCCTTGCCGAGGGGTACCCAGAGGGGGATCAGAGTCACTTCCACCCAATATAAATAGAAACCAGTGTTGCTGCATCTGCTCTCCCTGTTGGTGCTCACTGAACTCTGCTCTCTTTGTGTCTCAAGGAGAGGAAGTTTGTAGGAGGTTCGAATCAGGTGAGTCAGTGCATGGCGAGGGAGCTGGGAGACCGAGTGAAGCTGCAGTCTCCAGTCTACAGGATCGACCAGACCGGAGACATGGTTGTGGTGGAGACCGTGGACAAGCAGACCTACAAGGTGAGTTGAGTATATCACCAGTATTTCCTTTGAAGTACTATTCTTTAAGGACACTTTTTATGTCTTTCCTTACATATTCTGCTTTAGTCAGAAATATAATATTGAGCTGGAAATGAGCATTTAAAGTCCAGTCTAGTAAATATTCGAGGAGCTCGATTAATGTTTATTAATGGTATCTAGCACCAAATCATCTCATGGCACACCGCACTAAATGGTCAAAGGGATTACAACAAGATGGAGAGAAACCCCTTTGAGCAGAACTTGGAAAAAGTGAGGATAAAATAATGAGAGGAAAATAGAGGAAATGCACTCAGAGCAACATGGAAGGTCCCTCATCAGCATGTATCACAGAGAGGTGGTTCTTATACTTTACCCTAACGTTTTCCAATTTGTGATACTTTGTACTTTTATGTCCCTGCATTTCAGAGGGAAATATCTAACTTAACTCACATTCATCTGTGTGATGGCTGTAAAGGGAGACATTTTAAAACAGGAAATAAATAAATATATGTGCAGATGTACGTACAATCCTGATTCTGAAAAAGTTGATGCTGTGTAAAAATGTCAAATAAAAATAATGCAATTATTTTCAATCTCATAAACGGAGCATAGAAAGTGCAAATGGATATTGGCTCATTTTGAACTTGATGGCAGCAACTGTTCTCCAAAAAGTTGCGTTGGGGCCATGTTTAAGACAGTTTAGCATCGCCTCTTCTTTTAACACCTCCTCAGCAACTGAGGAGAGCAGGTACTAAACCTTTGGGAGCAGGAAGTTGTCTCATTCATGTTTGATTATATATGTCAACAGTTCTGGCTCTCTGTCATATATCTGTTTTTTTTTTTTTTTCATTTCATAATGCTCCAAATTAGTGAAAGGTCTGGACTGCAGGCAGGCCGGTTCAACACCCCAACTCTTTTACTTCTGCTGAAGCCTTTCTGTTGATTTCTCTGACCACAGAACAGTTTCCACTTTGCCTCAGTCTGTTTAAAATGAGCTTTGGCCCAGAAATGATGGCGGTGTTTCACCATCATGTTCACATGATAGAGCTTTAACCTGTATTTGTGAACAGTACAGTGTTCATAGACAGTGATTTCCAGAAGTGTTCCCGAGCCCTCCCAGTGATTTCATGACAATCATGCCTGCTTTAGTGCAGTGATGCAGCAGGGCCCAAAGGTCACGGGCATCCATTATTGATTTTCAGCCTTATCCTTTGCACACAGAAATTCCTCCAGATTCTTGGAATGTTTTGATGATATTATTCTTTTCAGTTTGATGTTGAGGAACATTTTTCTGAAATTGCTCCGCAGTTTGTAGACACAGTTTTGGGGGTTTTTGCAGAGCATCTCTGAGATGCTCTTTTTATCGCTGGTCGTGTCACTTTGAGACATGTCACTGCCATCAAATTCAAAGTGAGCTTTTTGTTTCTGTAAATGATAATAGTAGATTTCTGATATTTTTCTGTATAAGTGAATAAAAGATGGCTTTCTGAGATCGGCAAGTCACTGCATTCTGTTTTCATTTACAGTTTACACAATGTTACAACTTTCTGAAACTGGGTTTGTAGACACAATTGATTAGTTCAGTCCAGTGGTTCCCAACCTTCAAATGGCCCACAAAACAAATAGTCAGAATGACTTTGCTTATATGGATACATCACCGTTAACGAGCTGATAAGATAATGAATAATGACGCTGCTCTTATGTTTCAGTAGATTGTGAATGCAGGACTTTCCTTTTCCTGTTTTCCTGTTACTGCAGCCATGTTTCAAATAACTGTTATAGTGTTTGTTTGATTTTATTATGTATTAGGAAATGAAACAGATACTATATTTATACACTAGGTAATGTGAGATAATACAGTCTGAATATGAAACATCCATGTATCTGTAAAACAGTAACTGCTTCACAGTGTTACTCACAAACTTCACTGGCACTGCTGCTCTTTGGCTGCCATCTACTGGCTGCTTGGAAAAAAGCAGTTAAAATGTACATGATCTGTGTTACTTTGTTGATTAGGTTGAATGTTTTCATTTATGGTCAGATGTTCCATTGTAATGAATTATGGGACAGCATTTTCTCCCCTCTTTTCATAAAGGATAGTCCAGTGTATCCTATATTAAAGGAAGCACTGAAGCCTCTTTCCTTAGTATTTGGAGAATTGCAACATCTCTTACTATGGCTGATGACTACCATGCAGATACTTCTGGGTCACATCTTTCAGTTATAAACAGACTATTGGAACGCACTGTGTACTGTCTCTGTCTCTGTGTTAGGCCAAGTATGTGATCGTGGCCACACCACCTGCTTTGAATCTGAAGATGCACTTCAACCCTGAGCTGCCCCCGCTGAGGAACCAGCTGATCAACCGTGTTCCCATGGGCTCTGTCATAAAGTGCATGGTCTACTACAGAGAGAACTTCTGGAGGAAAAAGGGTACGCAGGAAGTGAAAACACAGAGAGAGCGAATGCTGTTCAAGATGATGCCATTTCTAACGTTTTATTGTGTTACCAGGTTACTGCGGCAGCATGGTGATAGAGGAGGAGGGCGCTCCCATCGGCTTCACCCTGGATGACACAAAGCCTGATGGGACTGTACCTTGTATTATGGGGTTGGTACAGAGCTTCAAACAGTTCTCTGTAATTGTGTATATTTTGTATAATGATTCCATATTGTACACTACATCGCCAAAAATATTTACCTGTCGCAGGACAGCTTTCAGACCTGAGTTATAAGATTGGTTGGCAAGTGGTTACTGGAGGTTGCCAGATAGCGCTAAGTGATATCAGCAGCCCCAAAGAAGTATACAATGCTGCACCATGCTTTAGTCAGGTTGAATACACATTTTTTCACTAGTGATTATCAGAGGGTTACTGACTGGCCTGTAGGCTTGTGTCTCAGCTTTACCATCTGACTCTGACCTAGTATTCTCGCATGAGCTCCTACAAGAATTTCCATACAGTGTAGGACTTGTGCTTGAATGGAGCTAAACACAAGTGATAAAGTCATCCAACCAGCCACACATGCTCATGTAGTGTTTTCTCTTTTCACTCTCCCCCCCAGATTCATCCTTGCCCACAAGTGCAGAAAGCTCTCAAGCCTGTCCAAGGAAGAAAGGTAGACACCAGTGGACAGAGATGGAAAAAACCTCTCACGAGCTGTGAGATCAGTTTAATCCCAACTCCTGTGTTGTTGTGTTTAGGTTGAGGAGGATCTGTGAGATCTACTCCAAAGTGCTGGGCACAGATGAGGCTTTGCATGTGAGTTTGGGTGCAGAGTGGTACACAGTCATGTGGATACTGTGGAATCACTTGACTGACTGCTCATGTGCCTGCTTGTTTCCTGCAGCCGGTGCACTATGAGGAGAAGAACTGGTGTGAAGAGGAGTACTCTGGAGGCTGCTACACAGCCTATTTCCCCCCAGGAATCCTTACTCAGTTTGGCAGGTGAGTCTCTCTCACACGTGTACACACACAAAAAAATAAACATAAATATGAAAGTGTGATCTTTTCATTTCAATTAACTTAATTTATTTGAATGTGTCAGCTCCTGGATATTAATGGCTAATGTATGTTTCAGCAGGATTTGTGATTATTTCTGCAAATTAGCGTCACTTCTCCTCCATGAAATGAACCTGCCTTCCTGTGCACGGTTTCAGAGGGGACTCACTGAGATCACAACACTTTGTGTTGGATTATTATGTTTACCACACAAGCAATACTGTGACTCATATTTCATCTGAATGGTGTTATTGCAGTGTTTTTGCGGCATTTCATGGGTTTTATTGGAGTGTGAACAAATGAATGCATTTTCAGTACAGCAGGACGTGTCCCCAGGATTTGCCCATTTGCTCTATAGCTGTACACACACATAAAACACAATCCAGTGTGTCTGATGCATTGCGGCTGCTTTCATTTATTAGTCGAAGCTGCTTGTTGTACAGATCCTGGTGCATATGTTCACTATTAGAGTTTTGTTAACCTCCATATGAAAAACTGAAACTCCTTGTTAATCGTCATGTGAACCATATTTCATGTCTAAATGTCCTCACCAGATGTGCAAATGTGTTCTCACTCACAATGAAAAGTAAGCTGGAGTTGGAAACCTAACATTGTGCTTTTTTATACAGAGTAACTGTTTCACATACCAGGTGGTCCTGCAAGAAATAGAGTTAAAGAAAAAGTCCTTTCTTTGGTTCTTTTACGTTGAGCACAGTGGGGGTGGGAAGATTAATCCAAAGGAAATTCACTTTATGTTATATAATCCCATATTGCACTTATTCAGGTGAGATAATATTCTTAAATGAAGTGAATGCATGCTAAAGCTCAATGGTCAGTACAATGCTGGTGCATACATTAAAAATAAAACGTGTTTAAAACCTGTAAACCAGTTTAACCTCTGAAGCCTCTCCTGTTTCTCTCTTTTTTGCTCTTCAGAGTGCTGAGAGAGCCGGTGGGCAAGTTGTACTTTGCAGGCACAGAGACGGCCACCGAATGGAGTGGCTACATGGAGGGGGCCGTACAAGCTGGAGAGAGAGCAGCCAGAGAGGTCAGAGAGCATTTAAGTACCTGCTTTTCACTGCTACGTGTTAGCAAATACCAGTTCTTACCAGTTTAAACACCCTTAGAGGCAGGTTACTTATATATACCAGGTGGAAACCACTTAAATCATGCAGCTGGCACACCTATTAGTCACACCTCAGCCTGCTCCTGGTGTTGTGGATGCTCAGCCAGCAGTGCTGGGGGTCAGCTGATATCAAATCATGACATCCTTGCCTTTTCTCCCCTCTCATTTATGTCTGAGCACAGCTGACTGAAACAAACCATAGAATCAAAATGGTCCTCCCCACTCAGTCTTCTAAATCTCTCTTTAAGACACTCGCCTGCTGCTTGCACTTTATGTCCTTCTTCCAAGGCATTAACATTAGGTTTGGTTTCCTAAGATACTCCCCCATGTGTTCATGTTCCTCCATGTTTCTTAGCTCTGGCTCTGCTGCAGAGTAGGTCAGTTGCAGTAAAGGCCAGTCAAGCCTGAGTAGATTATCTGAGTGCATTAAACATAAACATACACTTATTCTTCTTTTTATTACTTAAGTTAAGTTGATGTGTCGTGTCGTGTTGTATGTAGTGCCAACGTGGGACAGTTCCCCAATTTCATTGTGCTATTGTACTATGTATGACTGTGCAATGATAATAAAGAGTTATCTTATTAACATCACCCAAACTCAAAAATGTGTATCATGTTTAAAATTTAGACTGTTAGACTGTATTTTGATCCTTTTGAAGTCTTTGACTGACACCACCAATGTCTTTTCGCAGGTCATGTGTGCGATGGGTAAACTCCAACCTAATCAGATCTGGCAACCTGAGCCTGAGAACGATGTAAGAGAAGTCCTTATGCACCAAATTACAAGTTGGCTTTTGATTAAAAAAATGAACAATCAGTGGAGAAACACTCTGAAGTCTCTCGTCATGAATCCAAAACACTTTTTACCATAAATGACACTGTGAAAAAGATCATCTTGTAATAAATGAGAAAAAAACTACCAGGCAAGACCATAATGTTTCTTGGGGTTGTAAACCAAGAGAGGTCATTTTCTCCCTCGCTTTCTATACAATCATTTTCAAGCAGAAGAGTTGCCCCCTGCTGGTCATGTAAAAAAATGCAGGTTTAAGACACCTATGCATTGTTTACACATTTTGGACCCAAGATTACATAAGTTGTATATTGCCAAATCATCTATCAAGTATCTAGTTAATATCATGCACATGAAAAAGGCAGATATCTGATATCATCATTCCCTCCGTCCTGCAGGAAATCCGGGCACTCCCGTTTGTTACCACCTTCTGGGAGAGAAACCTGCCTTCGGTTGATGGTTTCCTCAAATTCTTAGGAGTCTCCACATTCCTGTCTGCTGCCGCCGCAGCTGGCTTGGTGGCCTACAAGAAGGGCATCATCCCCCGGAGTTAAACCACCCTGTCGTCTCACTCCTCCACATCTCAAGGGAACACGTCTCAATAGACACTTGTGTACTTCTAGTGCTTTATGGGCCCAAACTACAGAGTAGTGACCTACATAGGGTATACATTGTTTTTTGAGAAACACAGTGATGTGAGAAGGACTGCTCAGCTCATGCAAAAACACTAACACACTGTTACTCTGTCCACAAACGAAAGAGAGAATGAAGCAGGTGAGAAGGGCTGACTGAAAGGTGTTTGAGAGGAGGGACGAAAGCCTAACTTCAGTTTAAAACATGCAGACTCAGATTGTGAAACCAATGAAGGAAAAAAGATCAGAATCAGTTCGTAAGGGGAAACCTTCTCTGTCACTATTACTATCCCATACAATGCCAATGAAATCCACTGTGTCGATTATATGTGAGTTTATAAAAGTCGCCATGCTTACTGTGTGTATGAGCCTCGTCTGTGTCGCATGCTTCGGTGAGCATGCGTTCGTGAGCGTGTGGTCATCAAAGTTTCTGTACAAAGTTGCGAGCGCGTGTGCATGAGTTTCCACTGTGTGTCTAATTACCGCTGCCTATTTTAGGTGCCAATTTATTCTGGCCAAGCAGCCGTAGCTGTTTGACGAAATCCAGTGACTTCAGAAGAGAAAAGAGCACCTAAAGTGAGTTGGTACTGCGTGAAATGGGGCAATGTTGTTTCTCTTAAATTTTAATTTTATTTAAATCCCAAAGTGCAAATTATGTGCCCTAATATGAAATTACTGAATTCGTATAGCTAATTGTCTCCTTCATGGTGACTCCTTTAATATAAATCCTCTGTTTAAACTATAGTAAGTCTTAGGTATCAGCAAACACGGGCTACCAAATATGGCCACCAAAAATTAAGACGGTGCCAGTCTAAGTACTGAACCCATAAATTTAATTGGTAATCCATAAACTAATGGTGACAATAATGATTATTATAAAGAATAATTAAACACTTCTCAGTTATAGTTACTTGTTGTTTTAACTCTTTACCCGCTTGTATAAATCGACCAGGAGTGACCTTGAATGCTTCAGGCTTATAGAACAAAACGACTGGTGTGCATCATAAGTTAGTGCGGGTGGTCTCTCCCTGTGCAACTAGACTTAGAAAAACCCAGAAACTGTTCTGATTGTCTTCAAACCACAACTTTATTGATATATGCTGAGGTGTCAAAACTCATCATCAAGGCTACAAAGGGGATGTGTCAGTGTCTCTTTATGGAGTAAAGAGTTAAAGTTTATCCAGACTGAACACAGAGCAGGTACAGATGTTCAACAAATAGTTATGTTTTCTATATTTTTAATCTTCAAGTATACCAAATTTTCATATCCATAGATAAAAGTGTGCACGTTTTATTAATAAGAGCTCAGAAGTGGGGCTAGAAGGTGAATGCAGCTTAGCTTTTTGTGACTTCTCAAACAATCTAGTTTTTTCCTGTAGTTTCTCTTCAACAGGAACTCTAGGCTCACGTACATAAGCCAGGAAGTGGTAAGACAGACCAGTTCACTGTTAGAATTTGTGGGATTTGTTGACAGACAAAAAGAAAAACTCATCCTAAGAATGAGAAGAGTCAGCCTTATTCTTTTAATGGAAATGTAGTGGTGTCCAGCTGCTAGTGTGGTAATCTATCGATCAGTATGACGGAAGCATTTGAATGTATTTTCCTCACACTAGATAACACATGCATGGTGGTTTTGCTAAGGTAATCACATTTTTCACTTGTGTATTTTTACCTTTTCACATTCTCACTTCAGATAAACACGATCCCACCAGCTCTAAGGCGTCCTTGTAACAACTGTTTTGATTTGTTTAGGAAAAAGGAAACTGTCTTTTAGAGAAACTTTAAAGAAATGACATTCTTGCTGAAAAACTGACTCGCTGCAACAAAGGTTTAAGTACTGGCTGCTCAGCAAGCAGTGTCATCAGCAATCATTTGTCCGGGTAAAATCATTTGTCGGGGGTGTAGATGTGAAAGCCAACCTGCTGCACAGTCCTCTGTGTGCAGCTCTTTATGCCCACTACAAGAATCATGCTGTTCTTGTCCCAAAGATGTTTGTGAGTGTAGTTTATCTGTTGTGCCTTAATGGAAATTGTAACGTTTTTGTCATTTTATCGCAAGTGCCTGTGACTCTGACACTCTCAGCCCTCATCCCTCTTTCCCTCCCCCGCCTGCTCCGGAGGTGAGAGGTCAGATGGACCAGGTCATCGGTTCAAGGCATCATCTGCGCTCATTAACAGGGGTCAGCATTGTGTTCAAGTGTATCCGAAAACCTTTCATTTTAAAAGTTCCCCTTACCTGAGTTATGTCCTCACTGCAAACTTGACTCAGGTAAAGCCGGGTGTAAAAACACAGCATCAGAGCTCAGACTGTTGAGGTGATCCCTCTGCTTATCTCTGTGTCCGTGTGTGCTTCGTGTTGTCCCTGCAGCGCTTCTTCCCTCGTTGTGGTGTCCCTCTCCCGTCTGACCCTCAGTCCCAGTGCAGGTTTTATGTGCAGTTCTAGAAGTAATGATTGAATAATAATGTCACTTTTTGAACCATCACTAAAAGTGTTTGAGTTTATGGTTGGCTGAACAAACAAAGCCAGCAAATTCCATCCACCCTGTAGAAAAACAACAACAACAAACTACAGCACTCACAACAAACCATCAGCAGACGTGATGCAGCGTTATTCATTATGGGGTTTTTCTGGAGATACCCCCCCTTCCTTTGTCCCTCTGTGCATATGAGCCTTCTTAACTATTCCTGTGACCTGCTCTTTGATGTCTTTGATTCCTCATACAAAGCTGGTGATATTTAACAAAATGTGAAATAAATCTTTTACTCGCCTTAACCTGATTTATTCTGGTGTCGTGTGTCATTATGTCGACTCAGAGCAGAGCTACAGCCCAACGGAGTGAAAACAGCGGTGTAATAGTTAAGAAAAATGTGGGGAAAAAATCATTAAAAGCTAGTCCAATGCCCAATGTGCCCAGGAAGAATAAAACTGCAGTTCCAAAAAGGACACTGTGTCATTTGTAAATAAAACCAGAATCCAATGATTTGCAAACAAGAGAACATATATGACATATCAAATGTTTAAGCTGAGTCAGTGTGCCATTTTAAGAAAAATAAAAGCTCATTTTGACTTTGATGGCAGCACCTGGTTTAAAAATAGTTGAGACGGGGCAACAAAAGCCAGGAAAAGTAGGTAGTGCTAAAAAGAAGGTTAGGTTAAACAGCATCAGATCAGTAACATGACTGGAGTGTAAAACGAGCGTTTCAGAGGAGCAGAGCTTCTCAGAAGCAAAGGTGGATGGAGGTTTACCAATCTGCAAAAACCTGCCTGTACAAATTATGGAACAATTCAGAATAATATTCCTCAACATAAAATTGAATGTGGAGAAATCTGTGTGTGCAGGGGACAAGTCTGACAATCAGTATTGGATGTCTGTGAACTGAAGTGAAAACAGATGTGATTCTGTCATGAAATTCACTGTCACATGAAAATCACCGGCTGTGAACACATTTAACTGTACCACCCACAATTACAGGCTGAAGCTCTACCGTGCAGAGAAGAAGCCATACGTGAACATGATCCAGAAACACCACCATCTCTTCTGTGCCAAAGCTCATTTAAAATGAAGTGACGTAATCAATCAAACTGAAATTTTAAATTCTTTCATGGAAAACACTGATGACGATGGTAAAATGGCCTGTATTTACAGTGGGGCAAAAAAGTATTTAGTCAGCCACCGATTGTGCAAGTTCCCCCACTTAAAATGATGACAGAGGTCAGTAATTTGCACCAGAGGTACACTTCAACTGTGAGAGACAGAATGTGAAAAAAAAATCCATGAATTTGTAACCCAGTGTTAATTTGGTTATCTGATATTGTGTGATATTCAGTATATATGTATATATCTATATTGGGTGTTATAAAATGTTCTTCAATGATTTTGAGTTGTTTTTTTACTTGCTATTGGTTTGCGGCTGCTTTACGACAGTCGACTGTGGTAGTACATGTGGGCTATGAGCTCACATGGCTTGTAGCTGTGCCAGAGAGCAAGCTTGGGTGAGCTAGCGGGGAATATCTCCTTCTGCAGTAGCCTTAAAAAAGACTATTGTTCGTTCTCCTGCCAGGTAAAAATCTGTTTCGTATGTATATGTAACCCAACCAGTGCAGGGGCCTCCCTACACCCCGGACTCTGCGTTGTGTTAAATTGTGTTGGATTGGGGTGCACCGCAGAGAGACCAGTCGGACACAGGTGTTCAATTTGTGGCTCGGACCGCGCCGTTTATTCGGAAGCAGGGGCAAACACCACTCCAACTCTGCTGCTGGCCCTTCGCAAATCACAGCAAACACTCCGTGACTATCAACATTGCAAAATACAACAACACATATACACAGAATACACATTAAGTAACAATAACCGTGCCTTCTACAACATTCCACGGTCTCCGCGATGAATACAACACAAAACTGATGCAGTTCGCCACTGGCAGTGCTTACCTTCGCAAATCACAGCAAACACTGACCCAAGATGGCGCCCGCGCGAACAAGAAATCTAAAGTACGGTGTCCTGCAGAGGACGAATGGCCAAAATTGCTAACATTTACACCATATATGCAGCTCAACAGCGACACCTTGTGACTTATTCCAGTCACTACCTTACATCCGCCTCTCCTTTAAGTGATGGCGTCCCAGTCATCAAACAAAACAAAATAAAACAGAACAGTCTCACTATGTACACAAGAATAATGGTGGTGGAAGATGTGCAGTGTAATGTGAAAATGTCTATGTGTGTATCCTATGTGTTTCCTTCAGCCCTTCTTGCTTTGGCCCTCTGCCACAGCTTCCATCCCCTTTCTATCTTCTCCTGATCCTCCCCTGGTTCGTTAACTCTCAACCCATAAGTCAGTCTCTTTGGGGGATGCCGACTCCTCGGCAAGTTCCTCCTTGGTTCTCTTGGTCTGGGAGGTGAGTGGGTGACCCTGGCAGTCTCATTCCCCCTCCAATCTTCACTCTCTTGTGCTGCCCCTGGGTCCCTTTCCTCCGGTCCTGTGGGGGCAAGTGATCCATTTGCTGCTTCAGGTGAAATTCCCTCCACACCTCCTTCCAGGCTATCAGTCTCCCCGTCCTCGATCATGTCCGACTCTTCATCCTGTCTGATTACTTCACCAGCCTGCTCTCCACTGTCCTCAATCCCTCCTCCATGAACCTCCTCCACGTCAAGCTCCATTTCCTCTCTTGCCTCCTCTCCCACCTGCTCCACGGGAAGAAACATACACTGCGTGAGTAGGTTGCGGTGGACCACTCTCTCTGTATCACCATTTTTCGATCGCACCACATACACCGGCATGTCTGGCTGTTTCTTCACCACAATGTATGGACGTGACTCCCACTTGTCTCCTAGTTTGCTTCGCCCCTCCACATGACACA